AAATCACAATGAGATACCATCTCACGCCAGTCAGAATGGTGATTACTAAAAAGTCAAGAAACAACAGATGCTGCCAAAGTTGCAGAGAAATAGGAATGCTTTTACACTGTTGGTAGAAATGTAAATTGGCTCAACCATTGTGGAAGACAGTGTGGCAATTCCTCAAAGATTTAGAACCAGAAATACCATTTGACCTAGCAATCCCATTACAGGGTATATACCCAAAGGAATAGAAATCATTCTATTATAAAGATAGATGCATGTGTATGTTAATTGCAGCACTATTCACAATAGCAAAGACATGAAATCAACCCAAATGCTCAACAATGATGGACTGGATAAATAAAATATGGTACATCTACACCATGGAATATTATGAAGCCATAAAAAGGAATGAGATCAAGTCCTTTGCAGGGATATGGATGAAGCTGGAGGCCATTATCCTCAGCAAACTAACGCAGGAACAGAAAACCATACACTGCATGTTCTTACGTGTAATTGAGAGCTGAGCAATGAGAACACAGGGACACAGGGAGAGGAACAACACACACTGGGGCCTGTTGTGGGAGGGTGGTGGTGGGGGAGCATTAGGAAAAATACCTAATGCATGCCAGGCTTCATACCTAGGTGATGGGTTGATAGGTGCAGCAAACCACCATGGCACACGTTTACCTATGTAACAAACCTGCACATCCTGCACGTGTACCCTAGAACTTAAAATGAAATAAAATTAAAAGACAAGGTTAAAGCATTATTTAAAATTAAATTAAAAGACAAGGTTAAACCATATTAAAGAACAATAATTAGATAAAAGAAGATTTGATTTACAAAATCCTGAAATAATATCTTTAATTTTGCTTCAACATATATGCAAATCCTTTAATACTGCTCCCTTCCAGAGGTGCAGCTTACTTCCCTCTCTTGAGTGTGGCTCGAACTTAACGATGCACTTCTGATATGGCCTGGCTCTGTGTTCCCACCTGAATCTCATGTTGAATTTTCATGTGAATTGTAATCCCCCCACATTGAGGGAGTTACTACATGGGAGGTGATTGGATCATGGGGACGGTTTCCACATGCTGTTCTTTTAATTTTTAATTTTTATTTTTTTAAGATGGAGTCTCGCGCCGGGCGCGGTGGCTCACGCCTGTAATCCCAGCACTTTGGGAGGCCGAGGTGGGTGGATCACAAGGTCAAGAGATCGAAACTATCCTGGTCAACATGGTGAAACTCCGTCTCTACTAAAAATACAAAAAAAAAAAAAAAAAAAAAAATTAGCTGGGCATGGCAGCACGTGCCTGTAATCCCAGCTACTCAGGAGGCTGAGGCAGGAGAATTGCTTGAACCCAGGAGGCGGAGGTTGCGGTGAGCCAAGATTGCACCATTGCACCCCAGACTGGGTGACAAGAGTGAAACTCCGTCTCAAAAAAAAAAAAAAAAAAAAAAAGATGGAGTCTGCTCTGACACCTGTCTGCTGACACCTGTCTGGAGTGCAATGGCACAATCTTGGCTCACTGCAACCTCTGCCTCCTGGGTTCAAGTGATTCTTCTGTCTCAGCCTCCTGAGTAGCTGGGATTACAGGAGTGTGGCATCACTCCTGGCTAATCTTTGTATTTTTAGTAGAGATGCGGTTTTACCATGTTTGGTCAGGCTGGTCTCAAACTCCTGGCCTCATGATCTGCCCACCTCAGCCTCCCAAAGAGCTGGGATTATAGGCATGAGCCACCACGCCATGCCCCCCATGGTGTTCTAATGATAGTGAGTGAATTCTCATGAGATTTGATGGTTTTATAAGGGCTTTCCCCTTCACTCTGCATTTCCCTCTCCTACCACCACGTGAAGGAAGTGTCTGCTTCCACTTCTGCCATGATTATAAGTTTCCTGGGGCAGCCTTCTCAGCCATCCAAAACTGTGAGTCAATTAAACCTCTTTCCTTTATAAATAACCCAGTCTCAGGTATTTCTTTATAGCACTGTGAGAACCAGCTAGTACAACCTCTAACAGATAGAGTAATGCTGACATAACAGTTTGTGACTCTGGGTGTAGAACATAAAACTCACTGTGGCTTCTACTTTCTCTCTCTCTGTCTCTGGGATCATGAGCTCTGGGGAAGCCAGCTGCTGTGCTATAAGCTGCCCTGCAGGAAGGTCCATGTGGCTAAGAACTGAGGCCTTCTGAGACCAGACAACAAGAAACTAGACCTTTTCCAACAGCCATGTGACTGAGCCATGTTTCATGTGAATCCTCAGCCCCAGGGAAACAGCTCAGATGATGCAGCCCTTGGCTGACAACTGGACTACAGCCTTGTGAGAGGAACTGAGCCAGAAGCACTCAGGGAAACCTCTCCTGGATTCCTGACCATTGGAAACTGTGGAGATGATGAATATTTGTTGTTTTGAGCTGCTAAGTTTTACATAATTTGTTATGCAATAGTAAATAATTTTCACAAGAAAGTATGTATTATTACACATTAATTTGCATTTGCTCTAAATTTATCATCATCATCATTATTATTTTTGAGACAGGGTCACACTCTGTCACCCAGGCTGGAGTGCAGTGGCATGATCACCATGCACTGCCGTGTCGACCTCCTGGGCTCAAGGGATCCTGTGACCTCAGCCTCCTGAGTAGCTGGGACTACAGGCATGAACCACCATGCCTGGCTAATTTTCTAATTTTTTCTTGTAGAGATGGGGGTTTGACCATGTTTCCCAGGCTGATCTTGAACTTCTGGAGTCAACAAATCTGCCTTCCTCTGCTTTCCACAGTGCTAGCATTGCAGGCATGAGCCACCACACCAGGCCTAAATTAACTATAAGATATTAAACATGTAACTTAGTTGTAAAAGGTAAGGAGAATTTCCATGGCTGAAGAGGATGTATTTTATTACCGTTCACAATGATCACTTTACTTGAACTTCAATTTCCAACTGTGTCTCAATTAAACACAAAAGGAAGATCTAACCCTTGCTAGGCTGATTCTATGATGGCCCCCAACAACCACCTCCTGGTCATTCACCTTCCCCTAGTTATTCAACCGACTCTAATGTAGGTGCTGCTGTGAAGGGATTCAGCAGATATAATTAAGGGCCTCAATTAGTTGACTTTAGGCTGGGTTTATTCTGCTTGGATCTGTCCTAATCAGGTGAGCCTGGGAAAGGACTGAGGTTCTTCCTGAGCATAGAGATTCACAGTGTGAGAGGGATTCAGCATGAGGGGTTTCCTCCACTGTGGGCTTTGAAAATGAAGGGGCTGTGTAGGCAAGAATGCTGGTGGGCACCAGGAATTGAGCACAGCCCTCCCTGTTCTCTACCTTGACAGCCAGCAAGGAACAGGGACCTCAGTCTTACGACTGCCAGAAACTGCATTCTGCCTCCTCTGTATAAGCCTGAAGGAGGACTCCAAATGAAAATACAACTTTGGAAAGCCCAGAACAGAGATTCCATCCACATCTTGCCCAGACTTCTGACTAAGAACTATAAACTGCTCAATGGGTGTTGTTTGGCCAGGAGTGGTAGTTGCATGCCTGTAATCTTCTAACATTTGAGGAGCTGACACAGGAGCATCACTTGCAGCCAGGAGTTTGAGACCAGTCAGGATAATGTAGTGAGACACTTGTCTCTACAATTTTTTTTTTTTTTTGAGACGGAGTTTCGCTCTTGTTACCCAGGCTGGAGTGCAATGGCGCGATCTCGGCACCGCAACCTCTGCCTCCTGGGTTCAGGCAATTCTTCTGCCTCAGCCTCCTGAGTAGCTGGGATTACAGGCATGTGCCACCATGCCCAGCTAAATTTTTGTATTTTTAGTAGAGACGGGGTTTCACCATGTTGACCAGGATGGTCTCGATCTCTTGACCTCGTGATCCACCCGCCTCGGCCTCCCAAAGTGCTGGGATTGCAGGCTTGAGCCACCGCACCCGGCCGATTGAGGTGTTTTATGTGGAGAAATGACAAACTCTGATTCACAGTAGCAGGATCACTACGGAGAGAAGTCACATAGCAGGTAATGGTACAGTGCTAGAGCCACTATTCGGGAGTGACAGGGTGGTGGGGAATAAAGGGAGAGGAAGGGCTGAGGGATGAGAGGGATGGAGGGAAGGGCTGGGGAAGCAGGAAAGAATTGGAAAGCAGCAGAATTCTTAGGTTTAAACACATTGTTTTACAGATTTTTAATACATCCATCTACAGAGCCTAGCAGGGTGTTCTTTGTAGTTGGCCTTTAATACCTTATGTAGGTCAGCCTAAAAGCTAATTGTTTCTTATATTAATCAGGTTTAAAAAATACTGAGTGTTCCTATAAAATAAACACACCACTTAGATGTGGACACTTCGTAAAAAACAGGCAGTGCATGAGCACTGGTGCGGGGCATTGTGACTGCATTGAACACTTGCGACTGTGAGGTGAATGAAGTCTGTAGTGGCTCCTGGTTGCAACATTGTGCTACTTTGTACTGCGGAGATGTCCTGGACTCACACAGAAACTCAGGTCTATGGAGTAAAGGTAAATTTAAAATACAACAACCGGGAGTCACAGATACATTGTCTGGGAAAGTGAAACAGGAACTTTATGAGTCCTGTTTTAATGCTTTTAGACACATTTATATATCAATGGGCCAAAGTCACATTTTTTTTTTTTTACCAATTAGGTTCCTGATCATTCAGGAGTTATCAAGATTTTGTTACCCACTGTAGTTAATAAACAAAAAGCAAACTGGTCTCTATGCTCTCTCATGCTCTCAGGCAAAACTTTTCCAGATTTGAACAACAAAAAACCCTGTCTCTACACCTCCATTCCCAGGGCGAGTTCACTCTCCAGCAGCAAGTTTCCTGGGGTGAGTTTTCTTCTAGAAGAGTCCAGGGGGACAGGTAAGGAGTGGGAGGCAGGGAGTCCAGTTCAGGGACGGGGATACGGGATGAAAAGTGAAGGGAGAGGGACAGGGCCCATGCTGAGGGTTTTCCTTTGGTTTCTTAGTAGCTCCTGGGACAAGACTCAGGGAGACATTGAGACAGAGCGCTTGGCACAGGAGGAGCGGGGTCAGGACGAAGTCCCAGGCACCAGGCGTGGCTCTCAGGGTCTCAGACCCCGAAGGCGGTGTATGGATTGGGGAGGCGCAGCGTTGGGGATTCCCCCCCCATCTCCGCAGTTTCTCTTCCTCTCCCAACCTGTGTCGGGTCCTTCTTCCTGGATACTCATGACGCGGGCCCAGGTCCCACTCCCATTGGGTGCCGCGTTTCTAGAGAAGCCAATCAGCGTCGCCGCGGTCCCGGTTCTAAAGTCCCCAGTCACCCGCCCGGACTCAGATTCCCCCCAGACGCCAAGGATGGCGGTCATGGCGCCCCGAACCCTCCTCCTGCTGCTCTCGGGGGCCCTGGCCCTGACCGAGACCCGGGCGGGTGAGTGCGGGGTCGGGAGGGAAACGGCCTCTGCGGGGAGGAGCGAGGGGCCCGCCCGGGGGGAACGCAGGACCCGGGGAGCCGCGCCGGGAGGAGGATCGGCGGGTCTCAGCCCCTCCTCGCCCCCAGGCTCCCACTCCATGAGGTATTTCTACACCTCCGTGTCCCGGCCCGGCCGCGGGGAGCCCCGGTACATCTCCGTGGGCTACGTGGACGACACGCAGTTCTTGCGGTTCGACAGCGACGCCGCGATTCCGAGGATGGAGCCGCGGGCGCCGTGGATGGAGCAGGAGGGGCCGGAGTACTGGGACCGGAACACGCGGAGAGCCAAGGCCCAGGCACAGATTAACCGAGTGGACCTGCGGACCCTGCGCGGCTACTACAACCAGAGCGAGGCCGGTGAGTGACCCCGGCCCGGGGCGCAGGTCACGACCCCTCCCCATCCCGCACGGACGGCCCGGGTCGCCCCGAGTCTCTGCGTCTAAGATCCACCCGGATTCTGCGGGACCCGCCCAGCCCCTAGACCCGGGAGAAACTCGGGCGCCTTTACCGGGTTTCTTGTTCAGTTTAGGCCAAAATTCCAGCAGTTTGGCCGGGGGCGGGGCTCGGCGGGCGGGGCTGACCGCCGGGGGCGGGGCCAGAGTCTCACACCATCCAGATTCTGTACGGCTGCGACCTGGGGCCGGACGGGCGCCTCCTCCGCGGGTATTACCAGTTCGCCTACGACGGCAAGGACTACATCGTCCTGAACGAGGACCTGCGCTCCTGGACGGCCGCGGACACGGCGGCTCAGATCACCCAGCGCAAGTGGGAGGTGAACAATTGGGCTGAGAGAATGAAGAGCCTACCTGGAGGGCGAGTGCCTGGAGTGGCTCCGCAGACACCTGGAGAACGGGAAGGAGACGCTGCAGCGCGCGGGTACCAGGGTCCAGCGGGAACCTCCCTGATCTCCTGTAGACCTCCCAGGCTGGCCTTGCAGAAGGAGGGGAGGAAAATGGGACCAACACTGCAATATCGCCCTCCCTCCGGTTCTAAGGGAGAGGAATCCTCCTGGGTTTCCAGATCCTGTACCAGAGAGTGACTCTGAGGGCCTTCCTGCCCTGTTCTCTGATACAATTAAGGGTTGCAGTCTCTGAGGGGAAGGAGGGGAAGTCAGTCCCAGGAATACTGATCAGACTTTCCCTGTGACCCCACAGCAGCGTAGGGCACCAGGATTTTCCCCTCCTGCCTTTTCCTCTGCCTCACATTCAATGTGTGTAGGGGTCTGACTCCAGCTCCTCTGCGTTCCTTGGCCTCCATTCAGATCAGGGCCAGAAGTCCCAGTTCCCCCTTTGAGACTAGAAATTTCCAAGGAACAGGATATTATCCCAGGGGCCTGTGTCCAGGCTGGTGTCTGCGTTCTGTGCTCCCTTCCCTATCCCAGGTGTCCTGTCCATTCTTAGGATGGTCACATGGGAGCTGCTGGGATGTCCCATGAGAGATGCAAAGTGCCTGAATTTTCTGACTCTTCCCTGCAGAGCCCCCCAAGACTCACGTGACCCACCATCCCATCTCTGACCATGAGGTCACCCTGAGGTGCTGGGCCCTGGGCTTCTACCCTGCCGAGATCACACTGACCTGGCAGCGGGATGGGGAGGACCAGACCCAGGACATGGAGCTTGTGGAGACCAGGCCAGCAGGGGATGGAACCTTCCAGAAGTGGGTGGCTGTGGTGGTGCCTTCTGAAGAGGAGCAGAGATACACATGCCATGTGCAGCACGAGGGGCTGCAGGAGCCCCTCACCCTGACATGGGGTAAGGAGGGGATGGGGTGTCATGTCTCTTAGGGAAAGCAGGAGCCCCTCTGCAGCCCTTCAGCAGGGTCAGGACTGAGACCTGGGTTTCTGGGCCCCTCACCTTCCCCTCCTTTCCCAGAGCCGTCTTCCCAGCCCACCATCCCCATCTTGGTTATCATTGCTGGCCTGGCTGTCCTTGGAGCTGCATTCACTGTAGCTGTGGTCTCTGCCGTGATGAGGAGGAAGAAGATCTCAGGTGAGGAAGGGGTTAGGAGTAGAGTCTGAGATTTCTTGTCCCACTGAGGGTTCCAAGCCCCAGGTAGAAGTGTGCCCTGCCTGGTTACTGGGAAGCATCATCCACACTCATGAGCCGACCCAGCCTGGGCCCTGTGTGCCAGCACTTACTCTTGTGTAAAGCACCTGTGACAATGAAGGACAGATGTGTCACCTTGATGATTGTGGTGATGGGGACCTGATCCCAGCAGTCACAGGTCACAAGGGAATGTCCCTGCTGAGGACAGTCCTTAGGAGGGCAGTTGGTCCAGGACCCACACCTGCTTTCCTTGTTTTTCCTGATCCTTCCCTGAGTCTGCAGTCACACATTTCTGGAAACTTCTCTGGGGTCCAAGACTAGGAGGTTCCTCTAGGACCTCATGGCCCTGCCACCATTCTGAGCCCTCACAGGACATTTTCTTCCCACAGATAAAAAAGGAGAAAGCTACTCTCAGGCTGCAAGTAAGTATGAAGGAGGCTGATCCCTGAGATCATTGGGATATTGTGATTGGGAGCCCATGGGGAAGCTCATCCAGCCCACAGTTCCTCCTCTGGTGGCATTTCCTGTAGGCTCTGACCAGGTTCTGTTTTTGTTCTACCCTAGGCAGCTACAGGGCCCAGGGCTCTGATGTGTCTCTCACGGCTTGTAAAGGTGAGATCCTGGGGTGTGTGGTGGCTGATGTATGTGGGTTGTTAGGGGGAACAGTGAGAAGAGCTGTGTTATGGGGTTTCTTTAACTTGGATGTATTGAGCTGGTGATGGGTTGTTTAAAGTGTGACTGATATAAATTTGTTAATGAATATTTTTTGTAGTGTGAGACAGCTGCCTTGTGTGGGACTGAGAGGCAAGATTTACCCACACCTTCCATTTGTGACTTCTAGAACCCTGACTTCTCTTACTGCAAAGGCGTCTGAATGTGTCTGTGTCCCTAGAGGCATAATGTGAGGAGGTGGGGAGACCAGCCCAGCCCCGTGTCCACCATGACCCCTTCCCCACGCTGACCTTGCCTTCCTTCTCCGATCACCTTTCCTGTTCCAGATATGTGAGGCTGGGACATCTCCATCTTTGTCGCTACTTCATGGTGCACTGAGCTGTAAGTTCTTACTTTCACATTAATATTCAAATCTGAATATAATTTACTTTTTCAAATTATTTCTGAGAGCTTGATGAGTTAATTAAAAGAGAAGATTCCTGAAATTCAAGAGACAAAATAAATGTAAGACCTGAGAACCTTCCACAGTCCATGTGTTTCTTGTGCTGATTTGTTGCAGGGGAGGGAGTAGATGGGGCTGTGCCCAGTGGGTGCTCAGGCCACTTTGGGCTTTATGTGGTCACTGCTTGGCTGGGTCATCTTTGTTGCTCCATTGTCCTTAGCCCTTCAATAGAGCCTTGCTTATTCCAACACAACCTGTGATCACAGGGACTTGGATGTCACCTATGGTGGTCTCTACACATAAACACTCTTGTGGTATCAGGAGACACATTTTCAGTCCCCTGTTCCTCTCACCCTCCTTCCAGGTTTCTTCCTGGACTGTATTTTCCGTCTTTTCCCCAACCTTCTTAAAACAGATTCTGATACTTCCAGGAGGAGGGCTCCCATTGTTTCTCATTGTAGGTAACTTTCTGTTGGAACTCTTTCTGCTCTCTCTCCTATTCTTCCTGCCCTGAGTTGTAGTGATCCTAGTGCTGCCTCCGATCCAAGCTCATGGATTTATAAAGTAGAGTCTGACTTAGATTCATATGTGGTTGGAAAATTGGAACCATAAGCCCAGGGTTATCTTTCCTGAAGAGAAAAATATGGTTGTGTGCTGCAGCGTGCAGGAGGGTTGGTGTGGGAGGAGGGAGGGAGGGAGGGAGGGCACACACGCAGCCCTGGTGAGAAAAGCTCTGGCAGCACTGATGTCAGTGTGAGATGATGTTGTTCTGCAGCTGCCACAAAACAGCATTTGGCCTGAGGCTACATTAATAAAGATACTGCCTTTAGAATAGGGAGGTGCCCTACAGTGATCATTCATTCAACTGACATTTGTTGTCTGCTAGGTATATGACTATTTTCGCATTTAGAAAACATCATTAAAGTAAAACAGAAAAATTTCCAGTCTTCCAGTGTATATGTTCTAGATGCAAGCTTGTCCAACTGTGGCTCACAGGCTGCATGTGGCCCAGGACAGCTTCGAATGTGAGGACGTTTTTGCTTATCTGTGGTGGCAGATATCATAAAAATTATGCATGTACTTTTTTTCTTTTTTTGATTTTTTTCTGCTCATCAGCTGTCATTAGTGTATTTTTGTGTGGCTCAAGACAATTCTTCTTCCCATGTGGTCCAGGAAAGAAAATACTGGACACCTCTGTAGGCAGATGATAGATACAGTATAAGCAGAGTAAGAGCAGAAAATGCTTGAGTGAGAAGGTGGCAAGTGCTGTGGGGCAGGTGATCAGAGTGTGGGCTGTGGGGACAGGGAGGTGGCTGCTGTGCTGGGTGGTCAGCATGGGCCTTGTTGCACATGTGACCTTTGAGTGAAGATTTGAGGGATGTGAGGAGCTGTCCACAAGGATGACTGGGAAAGCTCTTTTCAGGCAGGAACCTTCAGTGCAGATGCACTAGGGCAGGAAAGTGTCTGTGTTCCTGGAAGGAGGAAGAGGCCAGAAGGGCTGGACAGAGAGAAACTGAAATGAGGTCAGAGGTGTGGCCAGAGCAGGGAGGCCTGGAGGGTGTGGGAAGGGTTTTTACATTTGCTATGAATGACATGGAGAGTTAGAGGACAGTTTTGAAAAGTGGGACATGGTGGGACTTATACTTTGAAAGCTTCTCTCTGGCTGCTGTGCTGAGAATAGAATTGGGAGGTGGGGGACAAGTGAGGCCGTAGGGAATTGGTGGGGAAGGAGTGCAGTATTCCAGGATGGAGACGCTGGTTACCTTGACTGGGGTGTGAGCAGGGGAAATGGTGGGAAGTGATGGGATTCCGGATGAATTTGAAGATGGACTTCACAGCACTTGCTAATGGATTGTGTCTGTGGTGTGAGAAAGAATCAAGGACACCCACAGTGTTGGACTGAGTGAGTAGAAGGGTGGAGCTGCTGTCAGTGGAGACGGGGAGACTCTGGCAGGAGCATACGGAGGAGAGGGCATCGCAGGCATTCAGTGGAGGAGACATCTGCGAGGAGTGCAGGTGAGGGGCCCGGATGCCTCTGCAGCTACAGCTTCACCATCCAGTTACTCTCCTGCTTCCACCCCCTGTGTCTCAGAGCCAGAGCACTGATTCTCCCCTGGGCTGTCTGCACAGGTAGGTGGAAGTCAGGGAAGTTATGGTCTGCTGTCAGTTATAAGAAGTCATGGATTATTGTGCTTTCTCATAATTAAATAAATAATAAGAGAAGTCGTAACTAGAATATTTATTCAGGAGACTACAATAATGCAACCCTTTTATTCATCTAAAGAAGGCAACAGAAGAAAAACAGTTGAGCCAAAAAGACATAATGTTAGAAGGTAACAAATAACAATGCACAGACTTAAACCCAGTGAGGTCAACAATGACATTAAACATAATGGACTCACACAGTCCAATGACGAGACAAATAGTGCAGAGGGGGAAAAATAAGTCAATATATAAATAACCATAGGCTGTTTACGAAAGCCATAATTTCAGCAGAAGGTACAGAAAAGCTGAAAGTAAAAGGATAGAAAAGAAATACCAGACACACATTCATGAAAACCACACAGAGATGCCATTTAGAAAAATTACAGGACATGCATCTTGTGAGACACAAGAGTCCTTGTAGACAGCTCACAATGCCTTTACTTTTTTTTCAGAGCCAGGGTCTGTTGTCCAGGCTGAAATGCATTGGTGATATCACACCTCACTGTCACCTCGAACTCCTGGGCTCAGGCAATTCTCCTGCCTCAGCCCTCTGAGTAGCTAGGACTACAGGTGTGTGCCCCCACAGCTGTCTGTAATGTCTAAATTTTTCATCTGATGTGGTGTGATCAAGGAAGCAATGTCATGTCATGTATTTGATTTGCAGTAAGTATGCAACAAATATCAGGGGAATGAAGAAATAAAACCACTTACTAGTTCAAGTCATGTCCACATTTACGTTTGACAGACAAGGAACAACATCTCAAACAAGTAAAATAAACTAATTTTCATCATCCAGAGCAGAATCGAGAACACATTCTCTGTGCTAAAGGAATCAGAGCTCTACTGAGGTCATAGCAGGTATCATGAATTGCTACTAGAATTGGAACGGACACATTTCAAGATATACTAAACAAAGGGTGTGCAAGGATTAACTGAATGCAGAGATAAAGGAAGAAAACTGACTTGTTTAAAAGATGGACAGACTCCTTTTAAAGTGGCCTTATGTGGACCAAAGCATAAGGCCCACAGACCATGTCATTGGTGAGATGAAGTGTCAGGTGGGAAAGTGCCTGATTAAGTGTAGCTTCCAGACCCAAAGGAGAACTAAAAATCTTGGGACATTTTCAGTTGTCATATGGGGATTGGTGGGAGGGGATGAGTGGGGTGCTCTTGGCACAGCTCCCACAGTGCACAGGACAGCCCACTCCACAAGGCACTCTCTGCACCAATTTGTTAATAGTGCTGCTGTTGAGAAACTCACCCCAGAGGTAAGTACTGTAATGTCCTCACCATTTCACAGATGAAGAAACTGAGGCACCGGGAGGGAAAGTGTCAGTAGGACCAGAGCTGCAGGTTGAATCCAGGCCACCTGGCTACAGGGTCGTGGCTCCCTGGTTAAATCAGGGAACCAGGAGGCCACCGCCAACTATCCCGGCTGCGCGGTGCCTTCATGGTCTGTGGGCGCCCCCTGGTGTTGGTACGGGGCCAAGACTAAAGCTCAGAAAAAATAATGTTCACCTTAATTATCTCTTCAACCCTGTTTTTCCCAGTCCCAGGCAGTTTCCTCCCTAGACTCCATCAACATCGTCACCTGCCAGACACCCACCACCCACCGTGTGAGGAGTGAAAAGGCCCCAGGACTAAAGGACAAGACCAGGTTCCATCCCAGCCATCCCTCCCCTCCCAGAGCTCTAGCTCTGTGCCTGTAGTGCTTAGGCTCTTAACCTGGGAGCCAGGAACCCACTGTCCCATGACACTGCAGGCAGAAGTGATGTTATGTGCACATGTGACTTCATTACAGGACATTGGATATTAATACTCAGCAGGACAGCTGGAGTTCAAGACACCATTCTTCTTCCAAAGGGTGGAGCTTGAGGGAGGCCCTAACTCCAAATCTTCTACCACAGCTAGTGAAGTTCTAAAAAGAAGTGCAAGTGGCCAGGCGCGGTGGCTCAAGCCTGTAATCCCATCACTTTGGGAGGCCGAGGCGAGTGGATCACGAGGTCAAGAGATCGAGACCATCCTGGTCAACATGGTGAAACCCCGTCTCTACTAAAAATACAAAAAATTAGCTGGGCATGGTGGTGCGTGCTCGTAATCCCAGCTACTCAGGAGGCTGAGGCAGGATAATTGCCTGAACCCAGGAGGCGGAAGTTGCGGTGAGCCGAGATCACGCCATTGCACTCCAGCCTGGGTAGCAAGAGTGAAACTCTGTCTCAAAAAAAAAAAAAAAAGAAGTGCAAGTTACTCAACCTGCTCTGGGGATACAGCAGGAAAGCGGAGTGTTCATGGATTTCAAATTCCATCCACGAAATACCATTTTGGCAAAATATCCAAGTCACTTTTCTAAGCCCCAGGCAGCAGCTCAAAGCAAACAATATACTAAAAGCAAAATCTTAGCCCAGGTGAAATCATTAAAGCTATAAAACTTTGTGAGACCTGTAGTTAGAAAGAAGGACAGTTTAATTTCTGGACAATTTAATTAAACAGGAAACCCCTACTTCATATAGGGATTTTCTTTATCATGAAGGTCCCCTGTAGGGACCTGCTCCCTTCTGCAGTGCATAGTGAGGCCACTTCTGTGTAAAATGATAGACTCTCCTTGGATTTCTGATGCTGACACTTACTAGTCACTCTCTGACTTTGTAGATTCCAATTTCACATTCGACATCTTTCAGTTAATTTTCTCTTCTGTTTAAGCAGAGAATTTAAAATTATTTCTGAAGCAGAAAACCAGAGACTTGTTATGTGAGCTCTCACCCCACCCTGTGGCTCTCTTATGTAATAAGTATAAGAGATTGCAGGCCAACAGAATTTGTAGCAAGGTAAATATAAACCCTCCATTTCAGCCTATGTTTCAGCTTGTCTGCTGATGTTCCAGTCTT